GAAAAAGTTGAAGTTTTGTCATATTAGATACCGATAACTTATTAAGGAGATTACTTTTATACAAATAAGAGTCATTCCGCATGTGTGCAATCAGTATGCTTGCATGGTTTTAGATTTTAATAAAAAAATTGTGGATAATTCTGTAGGTATCAACCATTTTAAATTTTTGGATATTTAACTTTTAAGATATGCAAATTGTGTCAAAATTTTAAATTTGAAAATTACTTACTTGTAATTATTATTAATTAGGTAATTAAAATGTAAGCAACGTATTCTATTGCAAATCAAGTAAAACCGCAAAACTACTCCAAATTCAAACACATTACATACATATTGTATGATACAAATCGTTTTGTGGTTAGTAGAACGTAGCACAGTCGGTTCAAGTGAAAAGAGACTCCACAGCAGTAGAAAAATTATTTGATTCCGATCGCGGACATCCTTGATTCCGGTCACGATTGTCAACTTTTTTCCTCTCCCTTCTTCATCGGCGACCTCCAGAGCCGCTGCGGAAGTGACGTATCTACGCGCACTTACTATACGAATCTCAAAGTCAAAGGGAAATTAAAGATGCCACACATGTAATGTTTATCGGTAATCATATGTGAGTATTGACGAGAGAAAATAAATAGTTATTAATTTAAGTTTTTGTGCTTGTTTGTTGATGAAGTTCCCAAGTAACACAAATGCTCTTATAGCGATCTCCAAGGTCGCAATATAACTTTGAATAAAACCAAATGATCTTCAAGATAGCTTTAAGACCATAATAAAGCAGTTTCAAGCCATCTTAAAAGGGTATTAAACTTGATACATAATATACTATTAGTTTATCTTAAGGTAAATTTAAAACCAATATTGTTTTATTGAACAATACATATATCTAAATAAATCAAAAGTATCTTACAATTATTGTTACTTGGGCAATTTTGTAGGAAAGGAGAATCTAGGTTTTTGTTGTTTTAATCGTGACAAATAAAAAAAGTAATAAACTGGAAGAATTTCGCTACTAAAAATGATACATTGTAGCGCCAATCTGTCACGAACCTAAAACTTTTAATTCCTTAATTTGTCGACAAAATTTATTGTTGCTCTATTTTTCCGTTTTACACATTTTTCATACGGACGTTTTTTGGTTATACAAATGTTCCAAAATATTGTTCTGTAATCAGCCCAAGCAGCGTTTTAAGTTTAAATAACTACAGTCAACTTTAACTGTTAACTAAAACGGTTTTATAACGATATAGATACGAAAAATTACCAAATTTGGGGTATGGTTTATTTCGTTATTTTGCCTACATAATAACCTTTTTGATCTACTAAGAGAATAACGTAATAAAACAATATAAATACCACAAATTGACGTAAAAATAACGCTATAATTACTAACTGTTTGATCTCTCTTTCTAAAACATTGACATTCGTAATTTCTTTGTTCTTTTAATTTATATTTCACAAAATGGTTCTTACAAAGTAGGTAATAAAGGCCACCCTAGAGTAAAATTAAAAAATATAACTTAAATTGTCAAAACCAATAATATTTTGCATTAAAACTCAAACGCACATTATTTTATTAAAAAAAATAGGCACGATACATCTTACAATTTATATGCCCTCTAAATATTTTACGTTTTTAAGAAAAATTATTGCTTGGGTAAAAATTCAACACAATTTTATAAAATCTTTTAAAAATCATTTAGTTTTAATCATTTTTTAATAACTAAAACTTCCCTTATTATATTTTAGAAAAATATTTATGAAAAAATATTAAATGTTTAGATAAGTTATGAATGCCATCTTAAAAACTCATTATGGCTACCTTGTTTAGTCAGTGTTAATAGTGTTTATTACCACTAATAACCCTAAAAAATACCAGGCGAATAGGAATTATTTACGGTTATAAAGTGGTCTTAATATCGTAAAATTATGACTTATGAGTAACATTTACCATTAAGTAAAAATTCTGACGTTAAAATTACCGTTCAATTTTCCTTTAGGTGAAATACACTTATAAGTAATTTTCATTCGTAAAAATTACCATCAACAACCATCAACATTTAAAACATGTGCTCCTGATCAAACGTCGAAAAAAAAGACATAATAAACATTTAATTTTAACTTTGAGATCATGGTTACGCCACTGCTCTATTATTAAATCATCTTATTGGGGGCTAAAGCAGAGGGATTTAATAAGGAAAGGCTGAGCCATAAATTATGTAATATGAGAGTTGATAATGATATCGGGCTCATCAGGGACTCATTAGGCCAGATTTATCGCTTATTTTCGACGCTTTTTTGTTTTTTTTTTTCGCGAGTCAACAAAACATCTGACGGTGAAAAAACGAGAATATAAAAGATTTAGTGCGATTTTTTAATTAGCAAGTTTTTCAAATTAATTTGTGCCCCTAACAAGCAGAATATTTTAATACAATTAAAACATATTTAACCTGTAACTTATTCAGGCATAATTTACGTTTGATTGGCTTCGTATTTAATTTGGTGTACAATTAAGGTACTTGTATCAAAAGCCATTTCAATTTCGGTTTGTTAATAAAATAATGATCAGCAATTTCGGTTTATTATTAACTCTGCGAGCGTATTGTTTTATTATGCCTAACGAAATTATTTTGTTTGCGAAACAAAAAACCAAGGCAAAATTTAATAAAATACCTACTTAATGTAATAAAGAACGATTGTTTTTAGATTACATCCTGTCTATATTAAGGAAAAATGTATTTTTATTTATAAAATAAACCTTAGAAGATTGCAAGAAATACAAAAACTATTTTTTCTACTCCCACCTTTAAAACGCCCTTTATCATACATGTTTCCATGACACTAAGTGACCTTTTAAATACACATTGACAAGGTGTGACTTTATGGCGCTTAAGTCACGGGCTGAAGTTAGCAACAGGTTTTTAGTCACGGGCTGAAGTTAGTTGACAGTTGTCAAATGTCATACAATCGTTAAAATAAGGCAGTAAACTATAACGTAAAAACTGTCAATTTTCAAGAAATACATTTCGATTTATAACTTTTATAATCTATGTTTATAAAATATAAAAATTTGACATTAAATGAAATAATAGAGGAATCTGTGTGTCACCGTCAAATTTTGACGGTGACACACAGATTCCTCTATTATTTCATAGATGGCGCTCTATACAATTTTTTTTATTTAAATCATTTTAAGATAATAATAAGTATTTGTCGTAGAAAAAGTATAGTATGCACCTCGTTTATAAACTTTTCTATACACTTATTAATTTATTCGTGTATAAAATGGCGTTTATCAAACTTGATAACATAATAACATAAATAAATCATAAACTTTCATATCCAAAATCTCTATTAAATGTTTAGATAAGTAATGGATGCCATCTTAAAAAACGCATTATGGCGAACTGAAAAAAGTTTTATTTTTCACTTTAAGCTTATTTTTTCTTGTTTAGTCAATATTAATAGTAGGTATTTATTACCACTAATAAGCCTAAAAATACCAGGCGAATAGGAATTATTTACGGTTATAAAGTGGTCTTAATATCGTAAAATTATGACTTAAAATTACCATGAAGTAAAAATTCTGACGTTAAAATTACCGTTAAATTTTCCTTTGGGTGAAATACACGTATAAGTAATTTTCTTTCGTAAAAATACTTTAAAGTGTTGTAACTTATAAGGGTTATTAAAATAGGTAAAAATAACATAAATAAAACTTATTAAATATCTTTAAAAAAAGTTTTACTTCAAAGTAAATTTTTAAGGTAAATTTAACAAAATATTTACTTTACTTTTTTTTTAGTTTATTGGAAGTGGACATTTATTCTTATTATACACCCACGAGCCGCCACTGAACTAACACAAAAAAAAAATTAAAGTCTTTTTAACTCTTTAAGTATTCAAACCGATTGCCAGATTTCTGATACTTGATACAGGCACAGTTTACATGTGCCGAATACCAAAAATAGGTAATTTCTGCGAAGTAAAAAACGTTTTTTTGTTTGAATTCCTTTAACATTTTAGAGGGTGGGCTTTTCTAAAAAAAATAACAATTTTAAAATATGTAGACTTTTTGTTAAAGAAAACAACATTTTAAAATGTTTTGAAATGTATTTTGCAATTTTAAATGCAAGCACCCTCAAATAAAATATGCATGTAAATTAAATTAAGCATAGTGCACTATGCTTAATTTAAGAATAAGTATTTTTTGATACAAATACAAAGGTATCTTTATGTAAGTTAAGAAAGAATTGTTTCAAATATTGTCTATTCTTTTTTTTTAACTTTTTCTCGACTTTTAATAATTTTTTAGAATATAATGACCATATTTATTTCAAAAGGTAAAGATTGTATTATGCAATCTTTTTTTTTCTAAGACTGATAGAGAAAAATAGATACTTTTTACCTTTTAAAATAAACATGGTCATTATATCCTAACCTTTAAAGTCGAGCAAAAGTTAAAAAAAGAATAGATAATATTTGAAACAATTATTGCTTAACTGAACCTGAAAAGAATGATATAGGTCTATAGCTTTATCTTTATTACATAACTTTTTTAGAATGTTTCAAATACCTATCTACCTATACGAGGTGTGTTCAGAAAATATCGAAAATTTTCGTTTTTTGAAAAAAATATTTATTTATTCGTCTACATTAATGTTGTCGCCTTCAAAATAGTCCCCATTGGATACTATGCACATGTGCCAGCTCTTCTTCCAATACTCGAAACACTTCTAAAACTCGATCTTTGGGATAGCCTTTAGTTCTTTCAGCGATGCGCTTTTAATGTCATCTATGCTTGCAAAACGACGGCCCTTTAAGGTTCTCTTTATTTTTGGGAATAGGAAAAAGTCAGACAGAGGCATGTATTCGTAGCCTAAGCAAATTATACTTAAATCAAGTGAACTACATTTAGAAAACATTTTTTCTGTGTATACAGGGTGTCCCGAAAATCTACTGTAAAAATTTAAAAAAAAAACTGAAAAAAAATTATTTTTTTTAAGATGTGGAAGAGCTGTCAGCGAAACTGAGTTTGATGGCAGCGTCTGGCTCTTCGAGTGAGAAAGAACCGGGGATGATGATGGATGAAGAGAACGAAGACGATTTTAGCGCGGCCTGCTCTCCAGAGGACGACTACAAAAATAGATGTGTATATTTAGAACAACTTTTAACTGGTAAGCGCAATAATTATCATTAAAAATAATAATAAGGATAATTTTATGAATTATGATGATTTTTTGGATTTTTATGTTTTAACAGCTTGAATTTTTTGACAAATTTCTTTGACGCCAAAACTTTCGGACACTTCATAGTTATTGGACAATTAACATTAATACTGTAAAAACAAGAGATCTACAAATAGTTACCTTAAAGTCATATCATAAGATGAAGCTGTATCCAATTATTACTATCTGAGTCGGTAATAATATAGAACTACTTTATTTTGGGTCCAATATAGGACAAAAAGTTCGCACGTTACTTTGGTGGTCAACTTTTTGTTTTTTTGTTAAGAGCAGGGCTGTGTTTAAATTACAATAAAAAATATTTCTAAAAAGTGTACAGATCAGTGTGTGGTATAAATGTGTTCCTCATGGTTTAAACATTGTCACTTTAATGCGTTTTAATTTTAATTCTGAAAACAAACAGTAAAATGGCCAGTGGCCAATTACTGTTTGGTAAAAAATGTAAATTTCTATTATTCGACATAATATTATGTCCAATATCATACTCTATTTGTATCCCGGACATTTACCAGCCAATTCTTATGTAAAATTGTCCCCTGAATCCGAAAAGACCGTCAAAAACTATAAAAGTTAAGCAGTTTTTGAGATATAGTCAATTCCATATTATATGTAAAATTGATTATATTTCAAAAACTGCCCTACTTTTATAACTTTTGGCGACATTTTCGGATTCAGCAAATAATATTTCATAGGAATTGCCTGCTAAATGTCCTGGATACAAATTGCTGTTGACGAGAATTATTAGTGGCTGCTTTTTCGCTATGACATTTTTGACTAATTCATTTTTAGAGAGTAAGTAATATAGTGATTTCTTCGTCACAGGACATCTTGCAAAATAACAGTCATTTAAATACAGTGCATAAAGAACATAAAAAACTAATGGCAACAAAATTAATAAATTCGGAAAATTCTTTTAACATACCACCCGAAAAAATATTAGATATATTTAAATCATCCTGTTCCGGCCTAAACCTTATAAATGCTTCACAAACTAGAGATGTCACTTAATGATATTTGCAACAAACTATTATAGAATTCAGACCAAGGAATTAGTTGGTTACCTTCAGAATCTAGGAAAGGTATGAGGAATCCGAGAAAGAAATATATGAATTATATGATATTTACAAAAACGAAATAAAAAAAATTACCTAAAATAGCAATTTATCTTTAAAAAATATTTAACAATTTATGTTATTTGATGTAGAGTTGTTATGTTTATATGAAAATTGTACGTCCAATAACTATGGTCCATGTGTCCAATTACTATATAAAATGTCCAATTACTATACTTATTTGCATGTTTTTATAAAACTATTATTAAAAATTTAAATGTTCTTATTTTTAAGTAAACGTAAATAAAGTTAAACGAACAAACTATCCTTTTTATATATTTATAAGAAAAAATCTAAAATCTTTAAAACAACGGCATATATAAATTTTAAATAAATAATATTCCGTAAGTCTCCAATTATTTGGCATTTTTGGTTTTAATCAATTTTAGGAGGCCAAAATATAACAAAAAATAATTTTGTTAACTTTGGCTCTGTCTGTCTTTTTAGGAAACACATAGTTATTATAACTATGTGTTTCCTAAAAAGACAGACAGAGCCAAAGTTAACAAAATTATTTTTTGTTATATTTTGGCCTCCTAAAATTGATTAAAACCAAAAATGCCAAATAAAAAAGTTGTAGATCTCAAAAATAACTATAAAAAATATGATTACTTTTAATATCATTTGGTCAAGCGTTCCCGAGTTACAGCGGGGTTAAAGTTTGTGACTAAATACAGAAAGTTTTGCCTGTTTGTTTCTAAACAATCAAAAGTTTGTTTTAACACTTTTTTTCCTGACCAACAGAAAACAAGATAAAAAAAATCATTTTTTTTAAAGGAGGAATTTTACATTTTACCCTTTTTTGAAAAAAATATTTTTTTTTGCATTTTATATATTTTTTTTATTTTCTTAAATGTTATTTTTTTTTAATAATTACATTTTGTTTTATTTTAGTAAGGAAAGACCAGAAACTAGACAAGAAAACCGCACGACAGGGAAACGTTTACATTGAGGAATCTATTTGAAAAAAATCCGGAGAGAAAAAACAGTATTGAACTAAAAATTAAAATAAACGCGAAGCAATTTGTTTTTAATTGCAGAAGATTGAGGAACATTAACATTGACAGCCAGTAAAAAAGTAACATTTTGTTTGTTTTGCAAAAAAGTATAAAGTTCGTTTTTTGTTTTGAGTTTTAAAGCGTCAAATTTATAATATTTTCTTTTGTTGATATAAATAATAAAATGTCGAAAAAAATAAAAATAAAATAAACGAACAGCTTTTTCCTATTATTTTTCCAAACAGAAATATATCATAGATCATCATATCAGGATTTTTAAAATTAAATTAATTATTTAAGGGACCATGTAAATTAAATTAAATTTAAACAATTAAATTGTAAAAAAGTCTAGTCTTTAAATTAATTAATTATTTAAAAAACAACATAAAAATTAATTATGAAAGTAAGTTATTTAATAAATTAATAAAATTATTATGATAATGATCCTGATAAAAACCTAAAGCATACAACAAAATGTTAGATGTCTAGTTTAGTTGTAACATTACCTCTGTATTTCTTGTAGATATTATATTTATTTTTAAATATATGTAAATTATTGTCCAGTGTGTTTTATTTATTTCAATCTTACAGCATTACCACACACAAAATAATAATACTTAAAAAATTATGTCAAGGCAAATAACTGAGCCTACTGCTTTTCCATGTATTTTGCTATATGAAGGTATATAATAGTTATTTATGTATTAAGGGCATAATAAGGTTTTTATGGTCCGAGGCGCTATTTCGAGCCCGAGCGCGTTAGCGCGAGGGCTAGAAAAGCGTCGTGGGACCATAAAAACCAGTTATGCCAGCAATGCATACAAAACTTTATGCACGATTAATATATTATTATTTTTAATATATTATTGTTTTTAAAGAGGTTTACGTCAAAGATTTTTTTTTATAATTGTCATATTATAATGTCAACTGAGTCAGTTGAACTGACATCAGTCAGTTTTAAAGTTTAAAGATGAATGAAATTGAGGAAGCAGCTGAAAAGGCGAAAAATTGCGGCGTGCTGCCGGAAAAATCAAAATCTTTATACGAAAAAACTTACTTCGAATATATCAAATGGTGTAACATTGTTGTTTTTAATTTTTGACGTTTCATTATAGCCCGCTGGGTCATAATAACGCCCGCGGGCTATAAAAAGACGTTTACGTCAAAGAATTTTTGTTATAATTGTCATATTATAATGTCATCGTGCATAAAATTCATTTTGAGCTTTTTTAAAGCTTTTGAGGTTCAAAGCTGAGCTCTTTAAAAGTTTTGTTTTTTTTTTTGTAAATTTTGGATGTTTAAAAAATCTTTAATTTTTAAAAGTTTGCTCATCAATTTCTATATTTAAACAGCTCTTTAATAGTTTAAAATATTTTTTTTAAATTTGAAGGATTTGTAAATTTAAAAAATCTTGATATTTTGGAAATTTCAAAAATTTGTCAATCATTTTCAATATTTAAACAACCATGCTAACTTTTCCCAAAATTTTTTCATTCTGAACCACTGTGCGAGTTTGTCCTACCATTTTTTAATTTTAACTCCTCTGCGAATAACTTTTTATATTTTTTGATCTATTGAGCTCTTTTAAAACTTTTGAGGTTTGAAGCGTTTTTGAGCTCTTAAAATATTTTTGTAAATTATAAATGTTTTGAAAGATTTTAAAGTTTGATAAAATTTTCATTAGATAAAATTTTCCTGGATAAAATTTTCATTGGATAAAATTTCCACTGGATAAAATTTTCATTAAATAAAATTTTCATTGGTTAAAATTCTCATTGGTTAAAATTCCCATTGGATAAAATTTTCACTGGGTAAAATTTCCATTGGATAAAATCTCCATTAGATGAAATTTCCACTGGATAAAGTGCTTAAGATGAAGCTTATTCTGTTAACAGGCCAATTGGCCTTGTATTTTATTAGGCCGCGTCATAAACAATTGGAGTGGGTGGGTATTCCGATTGCTTTGATATTTTATTTATTTATATGTATATTTTTATTCAACCATATAAATATATTTTTGGCAAATTGGGTCAAGATTGTTTTGATATTTTCTTTATTATGTATTTTATAGTTTATTTTTTTTAGGAGGGCTATCGGCCATTTTAGAAAAGGTCAACGAGTCGCAGAATAATACCTGGCGTGGAAATTTATTCGTATTTAGACAAAATTAACCTCATGTAGCCTCACCCTTTTATACAAAATTAACTGTATTAAAACAATATTTTTTATCTACCCCTGCAGCATATTCAACTTTCAACTTTGACACCATGTATCTTTCTTATTATCAATTCCTTTGTTTAGAAATTGGTTTTATATAAAAACCATATTTGGTCAAGTCGTGGGTCAAGTTAAAAAATGTTTCTAGAAATGTAATACTATATTTAGTCAAGTTGGCTATCATTACCATAAAACATTTTAGAATCTCAAAAACATATTGCAGAAAGTCAAAAGTTTAAAATTTAAGTCAAAAATTGTTCTTACACGTATTGAATTATTACTATGTATTTAGTGACCCTAGGCCTTGCCCTAATCTGCTGTAAAGACAAATACACAGATGACAAATAATAATAATAGAAGGAAGGGTCCCAGTTGTACATAATCAATTATTATTTTAGTTCCCCGGTGCTTTGTTTGAGTTTCTTACACAATGGACGTTTGGCTTTTAGGTAGACAGTAAAAGGTCTTCCTTAATCTGTTGGTCGTTTATGAGAGTCAAATAAATCATTTAAAATAATTGTTGATGGATTTTATGAGGGACTTTATGATTTTTTTTGTAAAAGAGATTGTTTAAACAATAGGTATATAAATTTATTTAATTCTGTTCTGTTTCAGAACAAAAAACCCCAAGTTATTGGAATCCTTGAAATTCTAGGCATTTATTAATTTGTTTATGACATTAAATGTGATTTTTACATTTTAAATTGTGGTTTGGATATTCATGAATATGCTTTTTACAAGTTAATAAAGAAATAAATGTAAATTATATTTTCGGATAATCCAAAAACACAATAAGATTATCTGGGGTGGTAAAATCCCAAAAATTTGACCACAACATCCACTTGACTTCTCCATTATTTTCATAGGACCCAAATAAAGCCAGTCAGGTGTAAAAAATAAAGGTACGCCAACGGAAAACTTAAGGGCAAAAATACAATAGTACACCTGTCTGACAAGTTAAAAAGAAACTTGCAATAACAGTGAATTTTTTAAGCAGCGTTGCCACTTTCAAACAAACTGACATTTTGACTACAATAAACTTACTAAAAATACCCCTTAAATCTTTTTATTCACACCATTAGTTGCGTAAAAAGTATTTTATAATTCAGCAGGAAGCATAAAACAACCCTTCAATGTAATAAAACATTATTTTGACAATAAAATTAGGTTTCCCTGAAAAAGGAAAAAACTGCACAACTTGGCAACGTCATGGTGTGCCACAAACTGCCGCTTTGCTATCCCTACAGTCCAGATTAGAGGTGGGCGCGTTGTCTGTAAATTCCGCTTTTACGTTTTGTTTGTTTCCAACCATTAAGACCCCGAAAAAGTTATAAAAACTTACTTCATTTACTTTTCATAATGTTTCTAGAGGTTTTTGGATGGTTTTTGGAGGTGGAATTCGTTGCTTTAACGTTGCTTTAAGAGAGGAAATTTTGCCAGTAGGTACCATTTTGAACGCACCTCTAATGAAGACAGGAGGGGATTGAAAAAATTGTTTTATTTTGGGAAATCAATTTTAGAAGAATTTTTTTACTGTATTATTCAAAATTGGGAATTTTTATTTAAAAACAAAAAAAAATTAACTCTTGAAAAGAAATTAGAATACGTGTTTTTACTTTTTGTTAGAAAAAGTTTATTTTAAAATATCAACGAAATGGAAATTTATTTTTAACAAATGTGTACCTACCTAGTTGTTTTTGTACGCCAGTTTATAGTATATTATGTATCAAGTTTTATAAACGCCATTTTAGTTACGAGTTTAATTAAGCACGAGCGAAGCTTGCGAGCGAGTGTTTAATAAAAACGAGTGTCTAGAGAAGTTTATAAACGAGTTGCATACTATACTTTATTTACGACGAACACAAAACAGAATTTAAAGTCAATTTTATTTGTTAAAATTTTGACATCTGTCAACTGTCACCCGAATTTAACCTCACTTTCTCCCAAATTACTTCAGCCCGTGGCGTAAAATGTCGAAAAGCCACTGTTGTTAACTTCAGTCCGTCAATAAAACGCCATAAAGTCACAGCTCGTCAATGTAGGAGTAGATAAAATAATTTAAAAAATAAAAAATATTTGTTTATATTTGCTGTTTTGCTAAAAAGTGAAATGAATATTTTTTTGCCAAAAACTATCAGAAAATACATCTGGCAACTGTGTAAATATCAGCTAGCTGCAGATGCCTTGTTTATTTTGTTTTCGTAACAAACGTTCTTAGATGTGTGATATCATTGAGTAAAGAAGTGGGGAAGAGGCGTGGTCTAATGTATTTAAAATAACTCCAAAATCGATCCTGGTTGTTAGAGGCGCCACCGTCGATCTTCTCTTGAGATTTAAATTCTAAATTAGAGTGAGACCGTTAGAGTGAGACAGTAAGAAACGCGTCGTCATCAGCATCCCCACTTTCTATGCCGCGCCGGTCGCATGCATCGTGAAGGTCGACTAGATTAAATTTAATTCAGTTTGCACAAAGCAATTGCTGAAGTAGGTTGTTTTTCTTAATTCGTTAGCGAAAATGAATAATTTACCTACAAATACTTGTTTATATAACAAATGTTTTTTAAAAAAAGGCAAAACCAGCTTTGTATTGTTCCAATTTCCAATAAAAGACACCGAACGGTGTGAAATTTGGAAGAAAAATTCCGGAAATCAACTTTTATTGGATTTAGATTATAATGATCTAAAATTTAAATGTATTTGTGAAAAACATTTTTTGCCGAAGGACATTTTTACAAGCCTTTTTTAATAATTAATTCTTTAAACGCATTAAACAATTAATTTTATATTCTTTATGTAAATAAATCATTACAGGTGCGTGAAAATAAGATAAAACTACAAAAAAAAACAATATAATTTGATTTGTTTTGTTTATCTTAAAATGACATTGTTATTTTCAAAAATCTTGCAATAGGCATTCACTTAACGGTATTTGCTTAATGTTTTTTGATGTTTATATTT